TCGGATAATATCAGCATTCCAGGAGGAATGCATCTAAGGAAGGGGGCAGTGTAACGAGTTAGCCGGCTAGTACTAGGAGGAAGATGTTTAGTTGCCACTAGTAGAAGGAAAGATAGTAGTAAAAGAAAAGAATTGTCAGTCAGATTGAATTATAGTTGTCAATCGTATTCGTATTTTGTATTTACTGTTAATAAATGTTTTAAAATACCCTACGAGTTTTACAATATTTTACTGGTTTCAAATCACAAAACAGTCAATATGGTTGTTTTATGATTTGAAACTAGTCAAATATTTTTCCAATTTTTGTGCTTTATTTGATTTTCTTCATTACATTTTTGCGCTACTACAAAGTTAAATTTCAAAAGGCCCGCTCGTGGCGGCCATATTGAATTTTAGTACCACTCCAATTTGATAGATGGCAGCACATCGACTCGGAATTTTACAATTGAGTTTCCCATCTATTCACATTAGTAATCTATGATTGTAACCATAGAAAAATAAAAAGAGAAGGTTTGAATAAATGGCGGGACTTGTTTCCTTGCTGGTAGTTGAACCGTAAGCGCGCTGCTATCACTAAATTCAAACCCGTTTTACACCCATAAAAAAATATGTTTTCAAAAATAATGACAAAGAAATCAATAATTTTACTGATTTAGCGCTTTAAATTTCACTTTAATATGTGATCAAATACAGGGATAATCATTAATAAAGTTAAAGCTAAATTTAAATATTATTAGATGGTGTAAATCTGGCTTTGAAAATAAATTAGGTTATGTTGCTATAAATAATTAAATATGTCAGCCTGATTTCATTTTCAAATGCAGGTGAGTAAATTGTATTAAGTGTAAGTTAGATTTAACTAATTTAATTATTCGCTCCGTGCGCGACAGCAGCGCCAATTCGTTTTGATACTAATGGACTATTTCGGCGTATACTGACAAATGCAACTTTTAATAGAATTCGTAATTAAAAAGTATACATGTTAGTTTTAATAAAAGTATATGGATTTGTAAAACAAGTAAAACATTAATTTATTATTATTATATAGTATTTTTATCGCTTAAATTAAAGAAAATTATGTATAATTGATAAAAATCAATAATAAAATATAGGCAGGCAACAGTATTTACTGGAAAATGTATGAGAAGTTGCCTAAGTCTAATAAGTTTTCATTGAAGAATTAGTTTATTCTGTCAAAATACAAAAATACCATTTAATAATAGCGTTAAGTTAAAATGTATAAAAAAAGGATCATTACTTATATTTTCATTTTTGTTCGAAAGAAAACATAGAATGAATGATTAAAACTGATTTCCCATCAATAAGTTACAAAATTGCGTTCCAACCACATATAATAATCAAAGGCAGAAATCTTGAAATCTAGTCCTTGCTCAATGAACATTTAAGAATAAGGGATATTAAAGGACATGGTAAAATGATAATTTATTGTTGATTTAAAACCTTTCAAGTTTCTGATGTCTACTATTTGCAGCATTACGGTTATTATTACAAAAATAAAGGTAATTTTCCTTCTCATTGTATATCTATCCATTTATTTCTTTGATTTAATTTCCACTTTGCTACTGAAATTTTTTTTATAAGTTTCACTGTTTTTTTTGCTAGTATTTGTACAATTTTCAACACAGCAACTCCGGTTGCTTATTGTATTGTTTTTACCTACTTTTTTTGAAAAAAAGTAAAATGTATACGTGCATTTGATATGCCAAAATTACAAAATAAAATGCACGAATTATCCGCAGCTAGCGCTAGTATCGCTTTTGCTTCCCTTTCCATGACTTCGCACGGAGCGAATAGGGAGGTTCTTAAGAAAATCATTAACTTCTGATTCATTTAAATTTTAATTGCAGAAGTATTTTTCTCACAAAACTAACAAGAAATTTTATGTTTTTCCTGCTATTATTACTCAAGAGATAAATGGATCCACATTTTAAACATTTGTGGTCAAAAAAATGAAAGGAGTTATGAGCGAAATGTGTAAAGCCAATTTACAAACAAATATTGTAGAACCCGAGATAGAACCTCATCCTAGTTTTACTCATAAAGACCATGATGAAAAAAGGCGAATGATTTATGCTTAAAAAGTTATTGTTCAATTTTTGGGTGATATTCATTAATATATTTATCAAATAATACCCAAATATCTTCAAAAACTTATATGCTTTAGGTCAACATGTTAATTTTTGCATAGTTCACCCATTAAGATCATAAATCAGATGTTTTCTATTTTTATTGAAATTTTTATACCTTTTATTGCAAGAAAAATGTAAAAATTTAAAAAAGTTATGACTCCTGTTAATTTTTAATAATTTTAAGATACACACTGCACCTTTATTTTTGTTTTGTTTTAGATATTCCTCGGTATGGAGATTTTTGGAATGTACATAAATGTGTTTCTTAATTAGGGTGAGTTTCAAAGCCCACCTGTATTGAAGCTGGAGGCTTATATTGTACCCGAAATAGGCATTACAACTATTCTAGATTGAAATAGATGGGAAAAGGCCTTAAAGGGACAATAAGTATAAGAATATTAGAATTAGAATGATTTGTCCTTGGATTAATAAGGGATATTTAAAACATTAAAACAATTGTGTTTATAAATTAACTACTTTGACTTTTTATAAAAACTATATTCGGTTTTTTAATAATAAAAACATTGTCATGTGGCTATGCTGGTTATCATATTATATTTTTATTTTTCAGTAATTTAGTGTGTGATATAGTGCTTGTTATGTTCAAAATATGCAGTTAGAAGATAATGAAACACATGTAATTACATGGTAATTCTAAATAAATTAAACTTGTTAAAAATGTGTTTTATTTTTCAACTAATTTTATTTTTCAGTTAAAACAAGTGACATTTTCCTTTTTTCAACATTTACCTACAACAAAAATTCACTAAACTTATTGTTTGTTTAGTAGTTGTAAGTAAAAGTTGTCAAATAGGAAAATGTTACTTCAAATTGCTTCAAATATCTAAATTATCAAGCCCGCCAATTTTTAAATCGCTTTAATTAGTAGTGTTCTACTTTATCGACTGAAACTGACAGGTGTAGTTCAACCGTAAGCGCTTAGCGCGCTACTGTCGAGGTCAAGCAAACTTGTTACCAACAATTTACATGGAATCCGACCCCCGTGATTGTAACAGTATAGAGTTCAGTGGTTCTGTTGAACAAATCGAATTACCTAAACGAACGTTAAAACGTGTTGATCGGAATAAAAAGTGTCCATGGAATAACTAAACGAACGCAGCTGATCTTTGAAGTTTGACATTTTTTTGTCAATTGTCATTTTCATTGAATGTTATGTTATTTGTTTTTGGCTTGCATAAATAAAAGAAAAGTAACATTTACGTCTAAAAAACCGATACCATTTATTTAGTTGTTATATTAATGATGAATATCAAACAAGAAGAACGTTTAGATATTTGTAAAACAACACAAAAGTATAAAGACGATAATGTAGATGATGATGTTTTTGATGAGTTTGAAACCAATACGCCGGGACAAAATGTTGAAATTAAAGAAGAAATTATCGAGTGTGAACAGCCTAAAATTGAACTACGTTCGGATTTGTTGCCAAAAATTAACAGTGATTTGACATCTGGAAAAGAAGTGCGATTTTGTGCTATAACTATTAAAAAAGAACTCGAGAAGACTAGTGACATTAAACCTATGACGGATATCAAGAAAGAGATTGATGAATGTATTCAGTTCAAAGTTGAACTTTTGACTACGACCTGTGATTTACCGACTTTGAAAAATGAAAATACTGAATATCAAGAAAGTTTGACAGAGTTGTGCGACAGCGAAGAAAATGAAAGGATATTAAATACATTAAAAAATGATGGAAAAATTATAAATATAAAAAAGAGAAGAAAGCAGTATCGCTATCAAAAAAGTAAGTGGCTATTAAATGATTATCAAAGTTACTAAGCTACATTTTTAGGCCTTAAGCTGGATTTATAACTTTCATTCAAATGGCGTTCAGTTCACGCCGAGTTCGTGTTCAACATAAATCAAGCAGATGGTAGGTCTTTTCCTTTGCATCGAAAGTGTAGCACTGAGCTACACCACTTCTGAAAATATCCTTTCATTTATACAAATTGTATGGATGGAACAATATTTTCAGAAGTGACGTAGCTCAGTGCTACACTGTCGATGCAAAGGAAAAGACCTGGAGGTCAATTCTCGACTTGTAGGAACCTTTTCCTATAGGAATTTGTGACACTTTCCTACATGTAGACAAATGTCATAAATTTCCGATGTGTAGAAAAATGTCATAAATTTCCGATGTGTAGAAAAATGTCAAAAATTCCTATAGGAAAAAATTCCTACGAGTCGAGAATCGACCCCCTGGTGTATAGTCATTTATAAAATTCAGTCATTGACCTTGCATTCAGTTGACATTGGCCGTGTTCATCGTCGTCAAACATGTTGTAACACTGAGTAAGCGGTAAGGATGAACTGTCAACCGCTGCAGCGCTTTTGAAGAAGCATAAAAGCGAAAATAAACTCGCTTGTTTGCTTTAAAAGCATAAAATTGACCTTGAACCCCTGTCAAATCCGTCTTTTGACATTTTGTTAGGTTATGTGTTTGTTTATTTATTTATATTTTTAAGGTTTTATACCCTAATAGAGTTGATTAGTTAAGTTGTATTTTAATATAATATTGTATTTATGGAGGTACCTATTTGAAGAAAATAAAATTAATTCCAGACGTAGATACATACACGTATGCTTAAATTATTTCATTTGGACGTTAATGGGATTCCACCAGTAAGGAATATGGATAATATAACATACCTACATATTATATATAGCATGTTCCGTATATCACCGAATATTACCGGCGCGGTTAAAGCGGTTACTAGCATTTTCAGGACGGTTTCTTTTTTGGTTATTGGTTAGTGAAATATTTACGGAACGCTTGTAAATGTCAAATGTCTCATGTCAAATCATTGCATTTTTTGACAATTTTTTGTTGGATGTTGATGTTTGAATTTGGGTGTCTTATATTTATGCTGTGGTTGTTTTGGTATTGCATTCTTTTAGTAACAAAAACGTTATTTTTTTACTGTACATTTTTCGGTTTTAAAAATGGAGGGTCTTGTAGAGGTATGTTGAAAATTATTATCAAAATATTTTGAGTTTTAATGTAATTTTCATTGTAGGATAACTCCGTTTTTCTATGCAATCATTGTGGTGCCATGCTAGGTACACTAACCACTATTATCGCAAATGACATCGCTGCGAAGCACCGATGTTTTAAATCTGCCTCCAATGTGACATTGGATTTTGAAAAAAAAAGAATCTGTGTTAGCGACATTCCAGTAGAAGAAAATAAAACAGAACAATCTTCGGTAGAGGTTGCTGCACTGGCAGAAGCTGAAGAACAATCTTTTAATGAAGGGGAAAAAAGTTTTTGGGCAGATGAAGAAACTAAATTATTAATAGAAAAATATAAAGAGCATAAAGAAAAATTTCAAACTTGCCCAAAAAAGAAGGTATGGTTAAAAATAAGTAGAGACTTGCTAAAACATAATGTTAATAAGGACGGTTCAAAATGTGATGAAAAATGGAGAAATCTAAAAAAAAAATATGACAAAGTAAGAACAGAAAATGACAAATCAGGAAATGCCACTGTCAGTTGGAAATATTTCGAAGATTTCCAAGAAATATATGAAAAAGATCCAAGATTTTCAGGTGCTTGTACGTCTTCAAGTAGTGGACAATTAAAAAGGCCTTATAACAAAGAAAGTTCAGAAGAAAATAAAAAAAACAAATTTTCTCCAGATGAAAAAAAAAGAAACACAATGTCTCTCAAACAGTTGGATGCTAGAATACAAAAACGACATGAAGAAAAGATGGATCTTAAAAAAGATATGTTAGAATGGTTCAAGAAAAATTACAAGCCTGATGATAGCAAAAATTAACATTTCTACCTAGTTCTATGTGAATTTTTAGTATTAATATTTATTTTTTAGTGTTTTATGCAAAGTTAGCTAGTTTTATCAGAATTTATTTTCTATTTTAAAGTTTTAATTTATGTTTTAAAGTTTTTCATGTTTAATTATATTCAAAAATTACAAGCCTGATGGTGACAAAAATTAACGTTTCTACATAGTTTAATGTGAATATTTAGTATTAATATTTATTTTTTTAAAGAGTTTTATGCAGTTAGCTAGTTTTATCAGAATTTATTTTATTTTCTATTTTAATAATTTATGTTTGTTTTAAAAAGTAATTCTATACCTCTCTTAACAATGTATGGAATTGCTGAAATAAAAAACGAAAGAAAGTTATAATTTTTATTTTCCAATTATCAAATGCAATGTGTCAAAAATAATAGAAGATAGTCTGTATTATTGATTATTAATAAGCTGGCATAATCTGTTTCTTTTTGCTCTCCCCAACAGTAATCTTTGTCTAATATAACCTGCATTTCTCTGTTCTTCCTCTTCATTATTATTATTATTATTATTTTCTTCTTCAAAATTGAGCAGATCATTTTGATCAATACATACATTGTGCAATACACAGATTGCAATGATGTATTTTGAAATCCATTCTGATTTTCTGACATTCAGACAATCCTTAAGACACCTAAATCTATTTTGGAGTAACCCAAATGTTCTTTCTATTGTTATTCTAGTTCTGGATAACAAAAAATTAAACTGTTTCTGTTCATTGGTCAAGAAACCATTGTCCCTGTAGGGAGTTATCAATTCAGGGAGGCAAGGATAAGCCTTGTCTCCCAACAAATGTGTGTCATTGGGAAATTTTATTACATTTTCTTCATTAATAAATGTCCAAATTTCACTCCTTTTCAATACTGTGCTGTCATGATTTCCACCTACTTCGCCAGCATAACAATGTGTAAATTTAAGTTTATGATCACAAATACCCTGAAAAAAAAAATACATAAAACTTTGCATTTTTAGGTTTTTCAAAAACATTGATAATAAAATAGCATTATTAAAAAATATTTTCTAAACTTCTAAATATAAACATATAATCATGGTATTGATTTTTTTGTATATGAAATAGTGTGAGGCAAGGCGCATCTTATAAAATGCACTGTGCCAACAACTTAGTTCAGGTTAAATCGAGGCACATGTGGATTATTCACGAATGGGACATTATGCCCTTTTAATTGCATATTGTTTCATTTCATTATCAGATGACTGCCAAAATTTGCAGTGTACTCTTGGGGTATTAGGTACCTGTAATATTACACTGGCAAACTTTTTCCTATTAATGTAAGACTGTCCATGTAGCCTAGGTTTGGGAATTTGAACGTGCATTCCATCAATACATCCTATTGTATTTGGCATTCCCATTTCGTGAAAACCGTTTTTCACTTCCTCCAAATAGTCTCCTGAGGGCCACTGAATTATTTCAGGACTGATTAAAATTAAGGCATTGGTGACCCTTCTTACTGTCCGAAGACCTGTAGCCTTTCCAATGTTAAAACGACCACAAATAGACCTGAAAGTTTTGTTTGTTGTGAATTATATTAATAGAATAATAGTACATTGTAGAACTTTAATTTAGTTATTCCTTTTACTAATTGAATTTGTCTCTCATTTGTACCCCATCTTCTTTTTTTCAAAAAAGTTACTTAATTAATATGTAGCTCTTACCGATAAGAGTCTGGTGTTCCAAAATACCATAATGTCACCAATAATTGGGCTTTTGGAGATATAGTATGCCTGCCTCTGTCCAAAATATGAGTGCTAATCTCATCTTTGATTTTATTGAACGTAAATTCAAAAGTTGTTCTACTCATTCGAAAATTGTCCATGAACTCTTCATTACTGTATTCATCTACAACATTATCAATATAATTTTGGACTCTTGGGCGCATATCTAAAACAATAAGATATTTTTGTAATATTTTATAAAGACATGATATTATAAATATTACCCATTGGACCCCTTGCAAGTAACAGAACATTCTCATCTTCATCACTTGAATCCGACATTAACTCGTTTAAAAAAAAGGCATTCATTTTTCAGCACACTATAGCACACAACACCACAAGCATGAACTAGAACTAGATATTAGTTTTTAATATTTTTACGTTTGCTAAAACTAAAATATTCCCGCTTCCAAAATTGAAAAACTCAAAACAAATTTAACTGATTATCACCACAGAACACTTATCACAAATACAAATGTCAACGTCAACCATAATAACCGATGAAAAAGTTTGGTCAGTTTGGTGACAGCTGGAACCAACCGCATTTCAGGAACACTGTCCCGTAAATCTACAATTTTCAGGAATTTGACATTTACGGAACGCGATTTTACTAACCAGGTTAACCAAGGTGATATACGGAACATCAGGATAGTTTTAGCACAGTTATTCAAAACAGACGAGTTTTGTTATTAAAACTGCACCGATGTTTTTGTTTTCATGTAATGTATATAGGGCCAAAAGGGCATTAAAAAATAAATAATAATAATAAATGTATGACATTTTATTTACAAAATAAATTAAATATAAGCAATTTTATTAAAAAGGGCCCACCTTGGTTTGTTGAACCTTTAAAAAAATACCTCATTACTGTATACATTTCAAATAATTTTTGCTAATAAGTCGCTCTACCTATATGACAACATTAAGTTTGTATATTTATTAATTTCCAATATCATTCCTATAAAAGAATTAATGTATATAGTTTGTCGATAAGGTATGTATAACTCTATAATACTAGACAAATTTTATTAATACATAAAAATAATTCAGACTCAATATGAATATTAGCAATGACCAAAAATGTATAACACCTAAGTACCTAAATCAAAAATACTTTGTAAAAAAATAAGTAAAGCATTAGATAGGGATTATTTTAACAATTTTCGGTTTTTGTAATAAAACGTTATCATTTCTTACCTCACAGCAAGAAGCCTGTAAATTTTAAAAGACAACAGCAATTTTTCATTATTTTTAATGTAGAATAACAACAGTAAGATTGTAGTAAAAGTAAAACAATAATATAATAAAAAAATGTATTAAAAATAAGTGAAATAACATAATTTTATGTTTATTTATTAGAAATTAGAAAAGCGAAATAAAACTTGTTTAGTGGGCTGATTTTCTATATTTTAGTTTTTAAATGGGAATGGAACTGTTGACGTGACTTGTTTATGTTATGCTTGGCTTTCAATACTGATACTTCAAATTAAGTAAGTTTTTTTCACTAGCACATATTTATATGAGATACCACTCTTTTTTGAAAAATGTTTTGAATCAGATCACGTTTTCTTTTAAAGCGGGACGAATTTGCATTCTTTGGGGACAATGGAACACATAACTTGAAAGTGGGTTTGTCTTGCCTAAAGCGGGACTTATGTACAGGTTGATTTTCATTTTTATCTCTTCCTCCTTTTTCGAATCAGTTAGTTTTGAACTGGTTTGAGACACATGCCTCAAGTTCTGGGCTGGAGTCCAGTTTAAATGATTACTAACTTTGCAGGAATTCTGTTTCCCTAAAAATAAGAAAGTCATACTTGATGTCTCTATTATTAAACACTTTTATGTATCCTTGATATATGTAAAAAGATCACTTTTTGATATGTATGTTATTAGTATCATGAGTTCCTTTAATTTATTGGTGCAGACCAGACAGTTGATTAAACACAATAAATAGCATTCTCATTCTGCTCTTCAAAGTATGATCTAGTTACAGTATGTTTTTATTTGTGTGTCAAAAAAATGTATTTTACCTTTAATAAAATGACTATTACAATTTCTTTGATTAGTCTTAGTATGTAGAATTCAAGATCCATAGAGGCAATAAAAACATCATGACTTTACAACCCAAAATAATACAAGTTGTAGGTTTTTCGCCGTAAAATTGTCAAAACCACTTTCAGAAGGGTACTTATATAAACTCTAATTCACTGTACAAATCAATTCAACTCAATTTTTTTTAAAAAATACTAAAGTAAACAATTCACATAACCTTCTTTGTGCCAACCAAATGTCATTCCATTTTTTGACAGATTTGAGGTTGAGAAAACAAATCGTAAACAAAAATGATCGTTCAGCGTCATTCCAACCGCTTATGAAACATGTTTCTTTGCTTTTAAAACATGTTTGACGACGATGAACACGGCCATTGAGAGATGAGAGACGACCAAGTGAACTGAATGCCAACTGAACAAAGTTTATAAATCCAGCTTTAAAATTATATTTCTTACTTTATTTCTCAAGTATGTAATATGATGTTGCGCCATTTAAGGTTTTTATCAATTATTCTATTTTGTGTGAGTTGGCACCTGAATTTAAAGATTGACCAATCAATCAATATATGTTTATTGTCAAAGCTACAAGAACTTATAGACAAACACTTATAAATATAATTATTATGTAGTACTAACAATTACATGCATAAAAATTTAAAAATTGTATAAAAACGTTAAATATAAAATTAGAGGTTAATTACAAATACAAATACGTAACACAACATCGATAAAATTATATAAATACAAAAATACAAAAACATGTACGTTCAAACAGTCACAACGATTTAAGAGTCATTGTAAAATTCCGTCAAAGCATAATATGCTTTTGTCATCAACATATCTCTAAGCAGTATTTTAAATGTTGTGACCGTTTCCGTCGATTTAATATCATTTGGCAACTTATTGTACATTTTAATCCCATTATAAATGAAAGAGTCCCTTACCAGTTCAGATTTGGGTATGGGCAACCGCAGGTTGTCAACTTGTCGCGTTAGCCGAGCGTTAGTATTGGCATAGTTCGATTTATTTTTATGTATAATACAAGTGGTTTCAAGAATGAACAACGATGTTAATGTTAAAATTTCATGTCTAATAAAATGTGGCTGACATGACTCAAGCTTGTTCATTCCACATAAAAATCGTATTGCTCTCTTTTGCAGACAAAAAACAGTATTGAATAATTCGCGGCTGCAACCTCCCCAAAATGCAATTCCATATCTCAAATGGGACTCAACTAGGGCGTAATACAC